ATAATTATTTTAACAAACTGTATTGTATGCATCAGCATAGAACTATTTGCATGTAAAGGAATGACTGACAAGTAAGAGGCATTTATAAGTGTGATAACAAAAGTTCAGGGCATTATTTCTTCTTAGAGTGAAGGGTAAGGCTGGTAAGAGTAGGAAATAATGAATGAATAAAAATATTGAGGTTCTAGTGAAGAACAAGGATCATAAAACTTATAGACAACTAGGATCAAATGAATCTCTTGGAGTATAAAGAGTGTAGGGGCATTCTTAGGAGGGAAATTGAGAAGGCAAAGAAGGCATTTGAGATAGCCTTGGCAGATAAGCTTAAGGATAATCCAAATCGATTTTAGAAGTGCATTAGGGCAAAAGAGCAAATAAAGAGAGAATAAGGCCCCTTAAAGATCAATAAGGTCATCTATGTGGGAGACATATTAACTGGACATTTTGTGTCAGCTTTTACAGTGGAGAAGGAAATAGAAGTTAGAGAACTTGGGAAAATAAATATTAATGTTTTGAAATTAGTTCACATTACAGAAGAGGGTGCTAGAGATTTTAGAAAGCATAAAAGTGGATAAGTCTCCAGGACCTGATCAAATGTATCTGAGGACATTGTGGAGAGTTAGGAAAAACATTGCAGGGCCTCTAGCAACAATATTTGTATCATCTATGACCATGGGTGAAGTGCTTGAGGACTGGAGGGTGGCTGTAAGGAGAAGCCTGGGAACTATGGGTGGCACAGTGGCTCAGTAGTTATCACTGTTGCCTCACAGTGCCAGGGACCCGGGTTCAATTCCAGCCTCGGGCGACTGTCTGTGTGGAGTTTGCACATTCTCCCTGTGTCTGCGTGGGTTTCTCCTGGGTGCTCCAATTTCCTCCCACATTCCAAAGATGTGCAGGCTAGGTGGATTGGCCATGCTAAGTTGCCCATAGTGTTCAGGGATGTGTAGATTAGGGGGGTTATAGGGGGATGAGTCTGGGTGGGATGCTCTGAGGGTCGGTGTGGACTTGTTGCGCTGAAGGGCCTGTTTCCACGCTGTAGGGATTCTATACATCTGTGAGCCTGATATCAATGGTTGGTAAGTTATTGGAGGTGAGTCTGAAAGATAGGATTTACATGTATTTGGAGAGTCAGGGACTGATTAGAGACAGTCAGCATGGTTTTGTGTGAGGGAAATTGTGTCTCACAAAGTTGATTGCTTTTTTGAGGAAGTAACCAAAAAGATGGATGAGAGCAGAGTGGTAGAAGTTGTGTACATGGATTTTTGTGAAGCCTTTGATAAAACTCCACATGGTAGACTAACTAGTAAAGTTAGATCACATGAGTGGAGGTTGAGCTTGCCAGCTGGATACAACATTGACTTACTGCATGAGACAGAAAGTGGTAGTGGAAGGTTCTTTTTAAGATTGGAGGCCTGTGACCAGTGGTGTTTCATAGGGATGAGTACTGGGTCCACTTTTGTTTGTCATTTTTCTGAATAATTTGGATGAGAATATCGGAGGCGTGGTTAATAAGTTTGCAGATGACACTAAAATTGGTGGTATCGTGGAGAGTGAAGAAAGTTATCTAAGATTATAAAGAGATAGTGATCAATTGGGTCAGTGGGCTAAGGAGTGGCAGATGGAGCTTACTTTGGAAAAAATGTGAAGTATTGCATTTTGATAAAACAAACAAGGCTAGAACTTATACAATTAATGGTAGGGTCCTGGGTTGTGTTGTAGATTAGAGAGACCTAAGGGTTCAGGTACACAATTCTTTGAAATTTGTGTCATAGATAGACAGGATGACTAAGAAGGCATTTGGCACACTTGCCTTCATTGCTCAGACCTTTGAATATAGGAGTTCAAACGTCACGTTGAGGTTATACAGGACATTGGTGAATTCTTTTTCTTGAGTACTGTGTGCAGTTCTGGTCATCCTGCTATGGGAAGGATATTATTAAATTGAACGTGGTTCAGAAAAGATTTCTGAGTTTGTTGCCGGAAATGGAGGATTTGAGTTATAGGGAGAGGCTGGATAGGCTGGGACCTTTTCCAGTGGAGCGTAGGAGATTGAGGGGCGACCTCATAGAGGTTTATAAAATCATGAGGGACATAGATAAAGTGAATAGCCAGGGTCTTTATCTCAGTGTGGAGAAGTTCAAAACAAGAGGGCCATATTTTCAAGGTGAGAGGAAAAAGTTTTTAAAAGGGCCTGAAGAGCAACATTTTTTACACAGAGATTGGTTAGTGTGTGAAATGAACTACTAGAGGAAGTGATGGATGCAGGTACAGTTGCAACACTTAAAAGACATTTGGATAAGTACATGAATAGGAAAAGTTTTGCGGGATATGGACCAAATGCAAGAAAGTGGGACCAGTTTAATTTAGGAACATTGTTAGTGTGGATTGTTGGACTGCAGGGTCTGTTTCCACACTGTATGACTGTATGACTCGCTAACGTGCCAGGCGCACATAAAGTACAAACATGTATTTACATGGTTAGTAAACTGTATAGCTCCAATAGTTTTTTTTAAGTCAGTCATGGGACATGGGCATTGCTGTCTGGCCAGCATTTATTGCCCATCCCTAGTTGCCCTTGAGAAGTTGGTGGTGATAATTCACATACGTTTATCACCAAGCTAAAATAAAATTTTCTACACAATGTTATAGTTGAAGTTTTGTTTTTATTTAGCCTTGTTTACTTTTTATGGAGAAGGATGAACCTCTTCAACTGCTTGCAGATCTAGATAAATTACAGAATGTTTTTGCTTTCTTTGTCTTTGTTTCCAGCACAATATGTTCAATCTGTTAACCTTAGTTTAACACACACGAAGTTCAAACCCACCTGGTAAATCCTGTTAATTTGGAGATTGAAGCAATGGAGCAGCCTCCTGCCTGCTATAACACAGCTAGATTGGTAACTTGGCCATACAGCAAGGGGTGCTGGATATACTGACCAAGTAAAACTCTGAATTCACAAAATCCACACACCAGACACAGTGCAAAAATAGCAGACAGATGCTACTGACATTAGCATAATGTAAAAGGAAACAGTTGTGCTGGACATACATAGCCCAACAAGTTATCCACCAAACAAAAGAGGGCCCACACAGAAAGGTCCTGCTACACAAAAAAAACAAACAGTAGCAAGTCATCCAAGTATTTAATGATATTTTAAACTATTAAGTGTGTCTTTCTGACTGGCCAGAACAATAGAAACTTCAAGCAAACTATCCAAAATGGTATAACAACAGGGTTCACCTGCAGACCAATCTCTCTTGGACCCTCTTGGACCTTCTGAGGAGACCAGCATGACAAATGACAGAGACCTGTTGACCATCCTGAGAGAGAGAGGAAGAGAGAAAGCAGCTTAGTGGTCCCACAGAGACAGAGATGGAGAGCAGCTGCATAAATCTACGAGAGACTCAGGAAGTATTATAAGCTTAAGGAGCTGAATAGAAATAGAGATTGTATTGTTTTGTAGTAAAATCTATTGTAACTTGTTTCCTAATAAAGCTGGGACTGTTTTGCATTGGTACCAGCTTGTGATTTGACTGCTTCAGTATTGTGGGACAGCTGGGTAAATTCATTCATAACATTCTGGTTGGAACTGTCTAACTTGTTTTAAGAAGGAATTAGACAACAGCAATACCTGAATAGTTTCTGATTCATCAATCAAAAGCTAATGACTTCCAGTCTTAAATCATTTTAATCCCAGACTACTAATTCCATTCCAACTTTAGCAACATTAACCTCTAATTCTATATATTGAATTTAACTGTTAGCTCCTAGATGTGTTATCTTGTGCCATCTCAGGTGTTTATAGATAATGCATGTACGATAGATTGAGTTTTATTTTTGGATTGAGTCTTTTTTCACTGGTACTGTCTTTGTGTGAATTGGCCTTTCAAAACATTATCAACTTAAAAATTTCACTGATACATATGAGTGAAAAAAATTATGGGAGTATGCAAATAACATTTTCACAAGCCTTCAGATTCAGTCTAGATATCTGACTCTCCAGCTCTTTGGCATAAGACCGTAAGATATCGGAGCAAGAGTAGGCCATTCAGCCCATTGAGTCTACTCTGCCATTCAATCATGGCTGATATGTTTCTCAACCTCATTCTCCTGCCTTTTCCCCATAACCTTAAACCCCCTTACAAATCAAGAACTTATTTAAAGACATTGTACATGTTGTACAATAAATGGTACCAAATTGTCTTTTTTGATAATTATCCATTAAACTTTCCCCACTTTAGTTCCTTTTCCAAATTGATAATACGTATTTGTAGTGATGCGTTATGTGATAATAATATGTGCATACGATATGTGATATAACTATCACAATTAACACTATGATAGATGATTATTTCCTTTATGTGGTATATGAAATGTTTTCTGTACAAAATAATATTTTGGTTGGAACTACCTCCAATAGAAAGCTAAGGTGACTTTAGACTGTGATGCATAGACATGTAAAGATGGTTTCCTGTGCCATAAATGTTCAGTTATTCAGTTTTCAGAGCTTCTATGAAACAGTTAGGTACATATTGATGGTCATTTATCTTAAAACTTCATTTACTTCGCCATTCTTTTATAATGCTTTCATTACAAAATTGAATGAGACATTTTGACAATTTTAAATGGTAGGTATTGACATGAACAAATAGATAAAACTATGACAATAGGAACTAAGGATGAGATAGCTCTGTTCATGTGTACAATTTAAAAAAGACAATGAATGTAGACATTATTAAATAGAATTTTTTTTATTATTCTTTGTTATTTGTTTTGCAATTCATTTATCTATAATTTTTCATTCCAAATTATTGGCAAAACTTGTGCTCTGTGTTATGAAGGGAAGAACAGGTAAATATGTTGTAAATAAAAGTATGAATTTGCCACAATATGATAATTTTCCTCAAATATTTTTCATTTCTTCGTAGAAAATTGTCACTTTTTTGTTTCCACAACGTTCTTCCTTTGAAAATGGGCCACAGTCAGAAAGTTACAAGTATAAACGATTTAAGCACTCAAGCTACAGTCATGGTGTAATCATCACTCTCACAACCTTCAGTTGCACTGTAAGTAAACCAAAAAGAACACTGCGCACCATTAAACCCAATCTGTTTTTGTATCTCTTTGCCTGACTAACTTCAATTGTTTTTTTACAGGCCACTTTTTAACATTTATATAATCAAGGTAAATGATAAGAGGATCTTTTGGCTGCCAGTTTCTTGTTCTGGGATTAGTTCACTCTCAACTTTTTTTTTGATGATATACTTAACAGATGAAATTTTGGAAAAAAAAGGTATAATTTTTAAAATTGAAACAATATATATTCCATTCTTCGTACAATCCCTGAATCGCTTACAAGCAACCGCTGTGGATGAGTAGGTTTCCTTTGTTGGAATGACATGCGTATCCTTAATGAATATCGTAGAAACAATGACGATAAGTCAGGTATGAAGTTAGTGGTTATACTTTCTGCCTACTGTGTACTAAAAATGGTTAGTTTGGCGAGAACAGCTGCAGCAAATGGATCGTTTTCTTTAAGAAAACAGCCTCAACGGAAGAAATATTGCAGCAAATGGACATAATGGATCAACATTATCTGTTTGCTATTCCTACGTTCAGCTGAATTTTGGCACAAATACAAAGATAGTTAAAGAGTTGGTGGAGTGAAAGGTTTTTGAATGGATTGCTGGGACTCTGACGGAGGGTTCATATCTGAAATGCCGAGTCCGCACCTGGAATATTAACAAGTCTGTACTATCCGTGGGCAGTGTTGGCTTCCCTCAGTCGTTCTAGAGTTTTGCATTGTTCTTTTTTTAAAACCAGCTGTACGTACTTAAGTTTTTTTTTGTTTATAAATTACTTCGAGCTTCTTGTGCAGCAATATTTTTAAAAATTGCTGAAGAAACTCAACAGGTCTGGCAGCATCTGTGGAGAGAAAGCAGAGTCAGTGTTTCGGGTCCAGGGGCCCTTCTTTCAGTTCGAAATGTTCACTCCGTTTTCTCCCCATAGATGCTGCCAGACCTGCTGAGTTTCTCCTGCAATTTCTCCATTTGTTTCCGATCTTCAGCATTTGCAGGCCTTTATTTCGTTTTAATGCTATGATGTGGAGGGTGCCGGTGTTGGACTGGGGTGGACCAGGCCAGAAATCACACAACACCAGGTTACAGTCCAACAGGTTTATTTGAAAATATGATTTCGGAGCGTCAGTAATCCCCAATCCTACGGGGAAAAAAAACTACACTGAAACCCCGTGGAAAGAAAAACATAATTTCTCAAGAAGCCAAATAAGGGCTGGTGACCAAATCTCTTGCCAAAGGCTTGGTTGGGATAGGGGCAGCAGACAATTGGATGACTTCAGTGGATTCGAGACATAAGAATGTGCTTTCAAGTCTCATTTCGGAGTCTTGAACACTACAGTCTACCCTAATGCTCCAGTGACAAAGAAAGGGAACAGCCGGAGGTGAAAGGATTCAGATGAGATGCTAAAATAAAATCCTGTCCACTCTCTTAGGTGGATCTGAAAAAGAAAACAATGCCACTATTTTAAAGCGGAGTGTCCTGATGAACGGTGATTCCTCGTTAACTAAGACTGGTCACAATTGGATTAAGAACCGAAAGAACTGCGAATGCTGTCAATCAGAAACAAAACCAGAAATTGCTGCAAAAGTTCAACAGGTCTGGCAGCGTCGTGAAGAGAAATCAGAGTTAACGTTTCGCGTCCGGTGACCCTTCCTCAGAAATAGTAGGAACTGCCGATGCTGGAGAATCTGAGCTAACAAGGTGTAGAGCTGGATGAACACAGCAGGCCAAGCAGCTTTCAGTTCATTGTTTCGAAGAAGCCAACAGTGTCACTACTGGCCAGGAGTGCCTTGCAGTAGACAAGCACAGAGGTATCATAGATAACAAGGTGTAGAGCTGGATGAACACAGCAGGCCAAGCAGCATCAGAGGAGCAGGAAAGCTGATGTTTCGGGCCTAGACCCTTCTTCAGAAAAT